CGTTGGGGTTGTATCTTTTCACCATACTTATTCAATCTGTATGCTGAGCAAAGAATCCGAGAAGCTGAACTATATGAAGAAGAACTCACCATCAGGATTGGAGGAAGGCTCATAAACAACCTGCAATATGCAGGTGACACAGCCTTCTTGCTGAAAGTGAAGAGGACTTGAAGCACTTATTGATGAAGAGCAAAGACTACAGTCTTCAGTATGGATTACACCTCAACATAAAACAAAAATCCTTGCAACTGGACCAATAAGCAACATCATGATAAACGGAGAAAATAATGAAGTTGTCAAGGATTTCATTTTACTTGGATCCACAATCAACATCCCTGGAAGCAACAGTCGAGCAATCAAAGGACCTACTGCACTGGGCAAATCTGCTGCGAAACACTTCTTTAAAGTGTTAGAAAGCAAAGATGTCACTTTGAGGACTAAGGTGGGCCTGACCAAAGCCATGGTATTTTCAATTACTTTATATGTATGTGAAAGCTGGACAATGAACAAGGAAGACTGAAGAAGAATTGATGCATTTGAATTCTGGTGCTGAAGAAGAATATTGAATATAACATAAACTGCCTGAAAAATAAACAAATCTGTCTTGGAAGAATTACAGCCAAAATATTCCTTAGAAGCAAGGATGGCAAGACTTTATCTCACATAATTCGGACATTTTTTTTTTCAGGAAGGACCAGTCCCTGGAGAAGAACATCATGCTTGGTAATGTAGACGGTCAGCAAAAAAGAGGAAGACCATCAAAGAGATGGACTGACACCGTGGCTGTAAACATGGACTCAAACACAGCAATGATTGTGAGGATGGCACACAACCAGGTAGTGTTTTGTTCTGCTGTACTAGGACTTCCAGTATAAAATTGAATAAGAGTGGTGATAATGGGCATCCTTGTCTCACTCCCCTTCTCAAAGGGAATACTCTCAAATTGGGCCAAGTAATATCTCAAGCATTTTTCAGATCTATTGCAGTGATTCCCTCTATTTCTTTTTGTTTGTTTGTTTTCTGAGTTTGTTTCAGTTTCTTCCTTTCCACAGCTCTTCACAATCTTATGCGGGTATGGCCAAAGTGCTGGTATATAGATTTTAGAAGTGAGGAAATTTTGATGTTCACTAAAGACAATCATATTCTCTATTATTTACAACAGGAATCTAAACTACAGATTCAAAAGAGCTTTTCTAAGTGCCTTGCTCTTGCTGTTAATCAGCGGTAGATGCCTTTTGGACAAGTCAATAATTAATAAACTATGTTCTCCCATTCATTCTTGGAATCATCACTATAATCATGATATTATTGAGTACTCTCTAAAGACCAGATAATCTTTTGGGTACTTTACATGCATTATTTCATTGATTCCTCAAGAAAGTCTTATGAAGTCATCTCCTTTTTACTAATAAGGAAATTGAGGCAGAGAAAGGTTAAGAAACTTACTCAAGGTTATACGGAATCAGGATTGTAATCTAGTACAAAAGCCTGTCTTTTATCCTCATAATTCCTCCCTTGAAAAACATCTAGAACGTTTGCTGGCTTCCAGTATACTCTCTAGAAAGTTTGTGTAAAATAGTTCTTTCAAGCCTTTTGTGCTGTTATACTATTCTTCCAGCCATACTTGAGTGCTTGTTTATTGAGTATGTACTTTGAGCAAAAGAGCCTGGTGGCGCAGTGGTTAACACTCTCCCAGCTGCTAACCAAAAGGTCCATGGTTCGAACCCACCAGTCACTCTGCAGGAGAAAGATATGGCAGTCTGCTTCCTTAAAGATTACAGCCATAGAAACCCTATGGGGCAGTTCTACTCTGTCCTATAAGGTTGCTATGAGTTAGAATCAACTCCACAGCGATGGGTTTAATTTGGTTTACTATGAGCAAGGAACAGTCAGGGACTAGAGATAAAATGATTAGGAAGATGGTCTGGGTGCCTACCCTCTTGAAATACAGTTTAATGCAGGGAGATGGACAATATAATAAACAATGACAATATAACATTGTGGGGAAATAGAGGGACACATAAGAGGAACATCTATCCCAGAAATCCTGGGAGTTTTCCTTAGGAAGTGGCAATTCATTCTCAGTATATTGCTTATATCTAGGATGAGACCACTACAAAATCCAGTGAAATACATTGCCTGTGTCCCTAACTCCTAAAAAAGTGCCAGACTCTCAATAAATGCTTGTTGAATTCATGGTGTTAGACTATCTGAAAAATTTCAGAGGTGCCATGGCTGCTACTCCTACATTCCCCAATCTATGTTGATTTTTTTTTCTAAGTGCAAGTTACCTTCAGCCCATGAAAAAAGTCAACTTTTCCTAAATGATTCCTTAATTCTGATCAATCCCAGAGCACCATGGCTGAGTCTTCTTACCCAGTGACCTGAACAAGATTTGGCAATTCTAGCCATAAAATCTTATAGTGGCCTAGAGCTCAAAGAACTGAATTAATGAAATGCATTGCTTGTCCTTTTTATTAAATCAAATTATAAAGACACACTTCTTAGCATCTGCAAATGTCGCTCCTAATTAGCTGAAGGACTCTGACATAGACAAGCCCTACTCAAAGTCAATTGAGGATTTTTGTGTATATATTAAGGGTTAATGTCAGTATTTTGGCTAGGATGCTCACAAGAACTTAAAATGGAGGACTTTAGAGTTAAGCAAACAATGATATAAACAGTGGCTTTGGATATTTTCAACTAAAATTGATTAATATTTAAAAGACTTGCTTTGTAGCTAACTTTGTTGAAATTTATTAAGAATATTTTTATAAGAAAACTATTGGAACTAACAGAAGATTTCAGCAAAGTTTCAGGATACAAGATAAACATACAAAAATCAATTGGATTCCTTTAC